TGTCCTGGCTTCTAAGACCTCTTAGTAAGCAGATCTGGGAAAGAAACCAATGGATATACACATACCAACACACAGAGACATAAACTTAATTTTCTCTATCTAGCTAAATTAAAAGCATATCAACATTTCTAAATTCTAGGTCCATCCATCCCACCAAAATTCTAGGCCCGTTTCCCCGTGGCCACCCCCCCCACCCCCACCCCCCGTTTCTATATCTTTAACTCCTTTATCTGACTGTGGGAAACCCAGTCCCTAATTTTCTTAATGTATTTTACCTGTTCTCATTTCTCCAGCATATAAACAAATCTCTTGGTCATGCCAGCAGAAAGTGTGGCCTGCATCTATTAAGTTATATATTTTATTTATTACATATGTTCATATGAAGGGACTTTAAAAAGTTCCTGGAATTTTTCATTATCCTTTAATTCCATTTTCCCACGAGACTTTGAGGCCCAATTTTCCATATAGACATATATGCAAACTGAGTGACAGTCATGCATTGAGCTGCTAAATTCAGGGTCACCAGTTCAAACTCTGGTTAGCTGCCGAGTACTTACGTACTACAACACCACACCAACACCACTCGTGTATAATTCCATACAGACACGAGCATTGCTTTTTTTCAAGGGCAATGCGCAAGGAGGCTTTTCTTCAGATGAAGATGCTAATGTCTTACACCTGGTTGCCCCCTCCAGTTCTGCCTCACCCTAAGAAATGCAGCGCTCTCCAAAGAGGATGTACCTCCAAATGCTCTAATGACCACTCTCAGTAAGCACTCTGTCCTCTACGGGTTACAAACAGCTGCAGTCAGCTCCACCATCATGCTTCAGCCAAATGCTAAATGTGGGGAAGGAGGATTTTATATTTAAGCTTTAATAAATAAGTTAACTGGCACATGCATGGAAATTCCACTTGACGCAGTCTATTGGCGTGGCTCCTGCAGCTCGCTGGTTTTCCTCCAGGTGTTGGCGGCACCAGCCAGCGTGGCTTCAGCACGCAGGACTACACACATGTGCTTGTGTACTGATCGCACTGGGCTGAGAAGGTTGACAGCAGGGGCTGGCTGCTTCTTGGATCCATTTCTAGTACTTAGCAGAGAGGATAACGCAGGCAGGTGCGAATTCCTGTTGATTCGCTGGAAGAAAGAATGAGTGAATCAACCAATCCGTATAGAATCATGAGGAGAGCTATGCATCCGGCGTGTGGGACCTTCAGTTTCAACCTCTGGGTCCCCACGGATGAAGAGTTCAGGCCCGTGCATCTTTAAGGCGTTTACCTATTGTCATTCAAGTTCGGTTTGTTTCTGGTGACATCATTCCACGGAGGAATACATCGTGAACACTGACATTGCGCACCGCGTGCATGCTCACCGCCCGCCCCTTGCCGCGGGGCCGCCTGCAGCTTCTGCAATCACCACTTCACGATTCCAGAACTCGAGGGAACCTTTCTCATTGCCTGGACTTGGCATTTTCTTCGCCTCCCCCCCAAGAACCACTGCATGAATTTCATTTTTTTTCTCGAAAGTTTCTTTGGAGTGTTCCAAACAAGAGCGATCTTCGTACGCTCCCAGGCCCGCGCGCGGGGCGCATGGTGACTACACACAAATGACGAGGTTCGTCACCGTATTGCTGACGATCGCGGTGGCCCGTTTTAATTTAGAGGGCGCCCGCGACACGTCAGCGAGGGACTCCAACGCTACGGGCGAACCGGCGCGGGCCAGGAGTCCCTAGGACAACCTTGACGCCACCGAAGTTTCCGGC